GTGCATAAAATGGGCATCTTTGTCTTGTACCAGTTTTTAGTGGAAAAGCTTTCACTCTTTTCATCTCTATTCAGGATGACGTTAGCTATGGGTTTTTCATAGATAGCTTTTATTATGTTGAGAAATGACCCTTCTATGCCAATTTTGCTGAGAGTCTTGATCATAAAAGGATGTTGTATTGTTTCATTGAAAATTGCACATTTGAGACCAGCAGTTGGCGTAATGGCTATGTTGCTGGACTCCCATGTAGTCGACCACGGTTCAAATCCTGGACCTGGTGGCTTAAACTCTCTCTGGGCGCATGTGCATGCATGCCCAAGATACTGAGAGGAGAATGGAGGAGAAGGGATTGCAGCGTGACCATCCCCCATGAGGGGTGATTCCTCACTTTCTGTCTCTCTGTCTCTCTCTTTTTGGCAAGTGCACACACCCTATAGAAAATCCTCTCAGAAAAAAAAGAAAAGAAAATTGCACATCTCAGTTTAACATGCTTGAGTTTTGGAAATCAGTTTTTTCTCTTTCCCCAGGTATGCAGGGGTTTTTTTATTTTCTTTTTTCTGTTTGTTTCTTTGCCAGCTTTTTTTCCCCCTCTCCCTGTCTTTGAATACTTTAAAGAAGTTATATTATTGTCTTCTGGCTTATAGCAACCTTTTTATTTTTCAAATATTTTTTCTTTCCAGTTTTTTCTCTCTTCTATTTTGGAGATTCATTTACATTTATATTAATTTGATTAATATTGACTTATATCTCTTTTTTAAAAAGTATTTTGAAATTTTTATTTATTATTATTTTAAAAATTTTTTATAGGACATGTACGAGAGAGAGAGAGAGAAAGCAAGCAAGCTGCCAGGTCTAAGACTCAAAAAGCCATTGGCCATGTGAGAGTTGAATGCCCTTAACCACCACATCACCTGCTGGCCCTGGCTTATATCTCTTGGTTTCTTAGCTTTCTTTTCACCCTCTTTTTTCTCTTTTTCAGTATGGATAATTTCTACTGACTTTTGTCAAAATTCACTGATTGTCCTTTAGCCTGTGTTGTGTTTGCTGATGAGCCTATTGATGACATGCTACATTACTTTTAAAATATTTTCATTCATTGCATTTCTACTTGATTCTTTCTCTTAAGAATTTTTAAGCTTTATTTATTTTATTAATTTTACTTTAATTTGAACAGATAAGGACAGAATGAAAGAGAGAGAGAGATGGAAAATGAGAAAGCAAGCCTCCAGGTCCGAAATTTGAACTACAATTGGCCATGTGGGAGTCCAGTGCTCTTAACCACCACACTACCTGCCAGCCCCAATTCCTTCCTTTTAAAAAAGAATTACTTATTCAGATTTATTTATTTATTTATTTATTATTTTAATTCGACCAGATGGAAAGGGAGAGAGATAGAAATTGAGAAAGCAAGCCTCTAGGTACAGGACTTGAACTATAGTTGGACATGTGAGAGTCCAGCACCTTAACCATCATGCCACTTGCCAGCCACATCTACTTGATTCTCTCTTATGGATCTTATCTCTCTAATGAAATTTCCCATTTGGTCATAGGTGTTGTCCACGTCTTCTTTTACATAGCAATTACCATATTTTTAAGTCCATCATTTGATAGTTTTGATTTGTGTTTTATCTCTGGTTTTGTTGATTATTTTATCTTAAAAGGTTTTTTTTCTGAAATTTTTTTTTTTTGGAGAGGTTTTCGCTATAGGGCACGTGTGCTCGCCAGACAGAGAGAGACAGAGAGACAGAAAGCGAGAAATCACCCCCCAGGGGGGATGGTCATGCCGCATTCCCTTCTCCTCCATTCTCCTCTCGGGATCTTGGGCATGCACGCACATGCGCCCGGCGTGAGTTTTAAGCCACCAGGTCCGGGATGCGAACCGCAGTCAACTACGTGGGAGTCCAGCGACATAGCCATTACGCTAACTGCTGGTTCCCAAAAGTTTTTTTTTCTTTCTCTTCTTTGTTGTATATATTGTTGTCGATGAATGCTGGATATCATGTATTATCAAGACTGACAAAAATAGTATTTTTTATTTTATTTTCTAGAAACTGGTAAAATGGGAATGGATATGCCTTTGTCTTTGATAGGCCTTCAGTATAAGGGTTTTGGTCAGTTTAATCAGTAATTGAGCAGGATTTGGTTTTGATGTTGCTATACTTACCCTTAGTATACCACTGACTTCAAATTCTAGCATTACATTGTGCTTACAATAGAAAATGGTTTACTAGAGGATTTATATCAGTGTTCGCTGTGGTTTTTTCCATTGTGCTTATGCTTCAGTGGAAGTTCCTTCAAATGTTCTTATTTCCCAACAATGGAATACAGTGAATAGTATGTGAAAGAGGTTGGGAGAGAGAAGCAGAATTCTTAAGAGTGTAGATGAAATGTTGTGCATGGCAGGTATTATTAATGGTCTTACTCAATATTAGTTACATGTTTCTTCTAGTGACCTTCTTGAATAGCTCATGCAGGAAAATGAAAAATTATATTTTAAAAACTTGGTTGTAGCTGGTATAGGCTTGTTTAACCACATGCATTTGGCTAACGAGTAAATGTGCAGAGAGACATC